CACAACTAGGTTTGGCCTTTGCATGGAGGTCTGCAGACAACAAGCTGACCCAGACTCTCAACTGCCCATTCGGAAGCCCCTGCCAAACTTCGTTGCCCCAGCTAGAGTGGCCTCTCACAATCCTTTGCGGGTGAACATGGGAATCATGGACAAGGAAGCCCCCTGGAAGGGCAAGTGAGAACTGATGAGGCCCAGGGAGTTCTTACAGAGCCGGGTGCCAGGGCACTGTCCTGGAGCTTCCTGCCATGCCGGGTAGAGGGTGTCCAGCATATGTACAGAGGTGCCCATGGGAGGACTCTGCAGACCACTGCTAAGCTCATTCACTTATATCTGGAAACTTTGCATTCAAAAAACTACACAGTATGCACAGCAACCACACGCCAGGTTTACTCCCGGGACGCTGCCCACAGAGTTGGAATGCTGCATGTGTTTCCCACCATCGTCTTCCTCCACACTGCAGGGGACATGGTGAGAGGCGACTTGCTCTTTGGTTAGAGGACCTCGTGGAGAGGCTGCACACGTCCGCCGGCGGGCCTTTGGGTTGTTGCCCTTGCCCAGGGACCAAGTGCAGCAGTGTCCCATGGAAGGACACTGGCAGACACGGTTCGTCATCTCTGTTAGCAGCTGCTTTCCTCTTCCCCTCCAAGTCAGCTGATGAAACATCCCCAGGGCAGGAATTGGCAATCCTGATGACTGCTTAGAGGAAGCCACCACACAAACACATGATTTCACATGAGAGAAAAGCATATGAACCTGAAGTGCTAACACGCATGATCTGGGCTTCGACATTTCCAGCCCAACAGTGTGAAGTTGTATCTCACTGACATTTAACTTGCATTTCTCTGATAGCTATTCAGAGCATCTCCTCTATCCCAGGATCTCAAAAATATTTCCTGTGCATTTTTTCTGCTAACCTCATTTCTTTACTGTTCATATTCAGTTCACTTAGAGACGACCATTCTCTATGTTATTAGGGTTCTGGTTCTGTTTTTTCCATTGAGTGAGGTCATTTTTTCAATGCCTAATAACAACCCACCCTTTTACCACTAATTGTGGTGCCACTTTTATCGCCTGTTAACTTCCGTTTGTACAAACGTCTGACACTGGGCTCTCTGTTGTACTGCCTTTGTTGTGAATTTTTGCACTGATACTGGAAACACATCCTCCCACCTTTGCCCTTTGTAGGTTGATTTGGCTATTCATTAACTTTTCTTTTTCCATACTCATTTTGAGTTTTCTTCTAAAAAAATCCAAGTAGATCTTTGATTGGATTGCTGTGAATTTGTAGGTTAAATTGGAAGAAATGTTACGTCTTTCAGATGTTAAATTGTTCCATATAACAGCAAGAAATTGCTCTTTGATTCAGATAGTCTTCTGTGTCTTTTGCTAAATTTTTGAGTCTTCTCCACATAGGGCTTGAGTGCTTTTGGTTAATTCCCCAGTATTTTGTAGTTTTGGTGGCTCTTGTGGAGGGCATTTCATTTTTTTTTTTTTTTCGTTACATTATCTAATTGGTCATTGCTCGTGCAGAGAAATGTTTCTTTTTGTAACTTCTTAAGATAAATGCGTTTGTTTTCTTTCATAACAAAACCAGGATCTGTGACATATTTATATATTGTATCTGTTCTCTGGAAAATTTTAATGACTATTATATATTTTACACTTTACACCCAGTTTCTCAGGTGTAAGAATGAAGAGTTTGGTTTTCATTGCCTTATAGTCCGTATTTTTCCAGTTAGTATCATTTTTTATTGCAAGGTTATGTAGACAGTGCTTCGTAAATTACAATACATAGGTTTTTTTGACCAACTTTTTATGTATTTCTAATTTTGATAGTTTAATCTGCCTGCAAGATGTATGCCTTAAAATATTTGTATTCTTTGTATCTGAGTGTATCATCAACTTTTGTAAATGTTCCATGAAAAGTCCCATGAAATGTATACTACCTGTCGAAGAAATTTGAGTTTTCCCCTCTGTCCCGTCGCATCATTTGCTGATTGGGGATTCAGTCGTTCCACGTGGATCCTCCGGTTTTTATCACGCTACAGTCTGTTCCGATTCTAGGCGCCTGTGTATCTAAGTCCCACAGCAGCGGTATATCTCATTCTCCCAGCCTTTCTAATCGTTTGTCCTTTTATATTTAGTTACCACCTCGTTAGTTGCGGGGTCCGGCTCTGACAGCGGTCATCCCACGGGGGCTCCGAGCGCGGTGCGGGAGTCAGGCGCGGAGCCACCGAGTCGCCTCGGTCTCCCGCCGCCTAGAGCGACTACCCTGGCCCTGGCGGGGCGGGCCCGCGGGCCGGAAGTCGGGGCGGGACTTCAGGATTGCGTCCCGGGCCGAACCGCTTCGGCACCGCGGCTTTGCGCCCTTCCCCGAGCGACGCCCGGCCGAGGGGCGTTCGCGGGGGTCAAGGCTGCTCGTTGCCGACGCGCTCTCGCGTGACTCCCACTCCCCTGCGGTGGGTGCCGGCGCCGGGCGGGCTGGACTCCGAAGGGCGGGGGTCGTGGGAACCGCGGTCGGAGGGGCGGGTGCTCGGCCT